TAGAACTCCCTTATGACCCAGCAATAGCACTGCTAGGAATTTACCCAAGGGATACAGAAATGCTGAGGCATAGGAGCACATGTACCCCAATGTTCATAGCAGCACTCTCCACAATAGCTAAAACATGGAAAGAGCCTAAGTGTCCATCAACAGATGAATGGATCAAGAAGATGTGGTTTATCTATACCATGGAATACTACATGGCAATGAGAAACAATGAAATCTGAATGTCTTTTAAAAGAACTGCTACATGTTTAGGGACTAATCTCCTCAATAAATTCCAATTAAGTAGATAATAAATCTAGTTTTAACATAGTATGAGTTCCATACTCTGATAATTACCTATATGTAAAATCATATCAGTGAATTGCAGGGATAATTTACTGTTAAAAATAATTATACTGTGATCCAAGATCATTAACACTTTTGCATATATCTTAGTGTGAGGAGGACAATTTATGCAGTAAGTACAACAAAAGCAGAAACTGTATAATTATTAAAGAATCAAGTAAACACATCTTAGATATTTTTTAAAAAAACTGTGTGGTACAAAGCTGAGTTCTAAACCTTTAACAGTTCTGAGTAAATAACAATAGCCTAATGGGCAAAAATAGAATTATTAAAGATTATTAGAATGTTCATTTGTTTATTAAGAATGATTCCATGAAGAACCAGATAACATTCTTAAGTGCCAAGGAATATAAAATTTTAACTATCACAATCTGTTGAACCATATTTATTCACTCTTTCAAACAAATATTCGTTGACTACTGTATGCATGGTACTATATATGGATTCAAAGTAAAATATAAAGGAGGGTAATAATAGTCCCCGTTTGTGGTAATTGGCGATGAGAAAAATTTATGTGGGTAACATTAAGGCATCTACCAAAAGAATGTACTGTATTTTGCTGGCTGAAGTGGAAAGATTCTGGGGAAGCTAGAAATACAATTGGTGGGAGAAGAATATTGAAGATCATAAGTAGTTAGTTGTGTTTTATTTTGGGGGTAATTGGAGTTACCAAGATGTCAGATCTGGAAGGTCAGCAAAGAAGCCAGCCACATTTTAGATATATTAATTTGATGAGGATTAATTAAAAAAGGGACAAGTCTCACCACATGGAGGTATATGGTGTAGGTTATGGAGTTGGCAGTTAGAATGATTGGGAAATAACTGAAATTGTCACGACCCCAATAGTATAATGCAATATTAATAAAGAAGAGACAAGGTAAGAGAGCAGAGATTGACAGAAATAGGGCAATCACTTGGTAAATTTTGTTTTAAAGAGGAAGATGAGAAGGTAATATTTGTTATATTCTTTTAGATGATGTTTATTGTGGGATTTTTTTTAACCAAAAGCGCATGATCACCATTTCCACCCCCACCACCACTGCCACCTTCATCACCATCACCATCTACACTACCACTGTCTCCACCACCATCTCTACGACCTCTGTCACCTCTACTACATCCACCCCTAATCCTTCAGTGTCCACCATAACCAAATGGCAAGAATAACAGCTACTGCATTCGCTGAATTCTTACTACCCTACAGTTACTGTATCAAATGCTTCTCATTTAATCCTTAGTATTTTATAAAGTGAGGATAGTAGATATGAGGCACAGATACTAGGTAATTTTCCTGGGATCTTAAGCTCATAGTTAAAACAAGCAGGTTTCAAACATGACTAATTCTGGTTCCAAAGTCCATGCTTTTCCCAATATTTGCCACTCCTTTAGATATACAGGCAAGAAATTATAAGAAGTAAAATATTTGTACAATGTAAAAGTAGGTGTCGTTAAACAGAGGAAACAACTGTTTGCATTTGATTAAAAAATACTGAGACACTGACAAGATGCCTCAATACAATGTACGTAGATGACTAGACACAAGTAAACTATATAGTTTCAAAGATATAAACATGAAATTTAAGAGAGAGTCAGATATGGAGCTATAAGTAAAATCGCAGGGTCATTCACTTAGTGTCAGACTTGAATCAACATAAAAAGAGAATTCAAATGACACCAAAAAAGCAAAAAAAAAAAAAAATACATTTATGAGCTACTACCATAGTACGTAGGCAAAAGGTAGAAAACAGGTCAGGTGCAGACCCAGTTGTGTGTCAGAGAAACTAAAAAAGGAGGTCATTTGTAAAAGATGAGCATTCAATAGATTTTCAAGACTACAGCCTTGAAAGTTATGTGATAGGGGTTATCACATGGGACACGAGATGGACATGAGCTATCATGAAGCTTTCACTCATGTTTGCATAAAGCCTCTTGAACCATTACACTATCTTAAGCAGTTGTCATCCTGTAGACAATGATCACTTATTGAATTTAAACGTCCTAAATGTTCACTTGTGACTGCTCTTTGTTCACTATAGATTTATCAATCTAGAATCTTATATAAAGCATCCATGGTACGGTACTGTCCAAATCTGGACATATGTGAGATTGACAGTTGGTCTTACATATAATTATGATGTCACAAAAGGTATGATCTTGAATGGATTTAGGGAAACAAAGATATAAGATCACCATAGTCATTTATCTACTGAAGAAACATTTTCCTAGCCAGTCTAGCTTCTGTAGTAGGCTACCTCACTTGAAATTCTGGCTCAGATACTCTGTAGTGGTATATAACAGTAATATTAGCCATACTTATCTTGTAGAGTAACTGTGAAGAATAAACGTGCTATGCAGAGAAAGCATTTAATCTAGCGCTGAGCACACAATAAAATCATCAGTAAGCGTTAACTTTTATTTAAGTCATATATTCTTTATGTTCCCAATAGGTCATCTCATTTCAGGCACTCATAAAAAACGCTGAGAGGGTGAGATGCAAAGAGAATTTAGGAGACAAAGTATTTCACCACTAGCCACACTTTCCTGAAAACAAAAAGTCATCAGAACATATTTTCCTTAACCAAATCACATTTACCAAACAGAAGCCAAGAATATACTTGTCAGGAGCCAGGAGAGAAACTGACATGAATCAATTTGCTCTGCTAATTTCTGTATTAGTAGAATGCTGAACACATTAGGAGGGTAAAACAACTAGGTTTCCATACTGTTCTGCTTGGAAAATTGGTGAAGAGCTGTTGAGTTGTTGCAAAGGATCCATAAATCCATGTCCCCACTAAGCACTGTCTGCAGACACATATTTCACATGATGTGAAATTCATACCCATGCTTTTGGGTTAATAAAAAGCAGATTCATTAAGATCTTCACATATTTGTTTCTGCCATTAAGTTTTTTTTCCTCTATCAATGTTAACTTTTCAGCTACCATCAGGAGTAGAATCCTCGAAAGCTGTTGGCCCAAATAGAATGCTAATACTGAAAGATTCAAAGAACTATTTGACTGGAATGAGAGTCAGCAAACTTCTTCTGTAAGGGGCAGATAGTAAATATTTTAGGCTTTGTGTGCCATATAGTCTCTGTGACAATCACCCAACCCTGCTCTTGTAATGTTAAAGCAACACAGATGATATATAAATAAATGATTGTGGCTTTGTTTCAATAAAACCTTGTTTATGGACACTGTCATTGGACTTTCATATAATTTTCACATGTCACGAGATACTGTTCTTCTTTTGATTATTTTCAACCATTTAAAAATATAAAAGGAATTCTTAGCTCATTAGCCATAGAAACACTGGAAGCAAGGTAAATCTAGTCTGCTGGCTTGAGTTTGCTGACCACTGCATGAGAGGATCCACCCAGCCACGTAGATCCCACCAGTTGGAAAAGCCTAGCAGCTCACTGTGGAATTATGACAGCAGGTTACAAATTACGGGTTAAAAGAGAAGTACTGAAAGTCCCAAATAATATACTTGAGTAACTTCTCTAGGTGTTTTTTTTTTCTTTTCCCTAAAGCATCTGACATGCTATTTTTAGGTATGTGTTCCTCTCCTCATACTTCTATACCCTTGTATACATAAATTCTAATGTCAAATGTTCCACGCGATCCTAAACATATGTTGCTTAGAAACATAAGGCAGATTTTAATGTTCTTTCTTAATCTTAGAATGATAATAATTGGAGTAAAAAAGAAACGGTACCATTTTTTATGACTTTCATGGTAGTTTTGCATTTCTGAGATTTTATTCTCATCATTTTAATATACCCATGGATGTACATAATACCTAGCTTATCTACAATGTCTAGTTGAAAATATCTACCAAAAGATCAGCTAAAAATTCTAACACCTTCAAGATAAGACTTTATAAATATCAAAGAACAGGAAATCTATTCTGTAATTACTCCTGATTTAGGATGTGCAGATTGAGACATTATGTTCTCATAAACTAGCAGAATGGAGCTTGTCTATTATAGGTGTACTTCTTCATGAAAATGTACTTTCCATTACTGGAAAAAAATACATTTAATGCAAAAGTAGGCACTGAACAAGCAGGCTTTTTGTAAGAAAAAAGAAAGAGAGAGAGAGAGAGAGAGAGAGAGAGAGAAAGGAAGGAAGGAAGGAAGGAAGGAAGGAAGGAAGGAAGGAAGGAAGGAAAGAAGGAAGGAAGGAAGGAAGGAACTTTTAGGATAAAATGAGTCCGTGGCAGTTCATGACCCATAGTTTCTTCTTTTAATCCTGAAAATATTATTTCTATTAAGCATTCAGTTTTTGTTGGGATGCTGATTCCCTGGGCAAATTTTAAAATTCACTGCACAATTTTTCTAACTTAACTGACATTACAGGCACCTGAGGCTTCTGGAAATATTGTTTAAGTAAACACACTGCCATCCAACAGCTATAGAGTTTTCCTGCTTAACAATTACTTTTTGCTTCAGGATAAAGCCATGAGTAAGAGCCTCTCACCTTTTCCTAATTTCGGAATCCACAATAATCTGCCTCTTCTTTTGGGGAGGTGGCGGTGGCAGTTCCTCTTGGGCATGCTTTACCAGAATTTGTTCCCTCGTGGTCACCATAGTTACTGTTTCCATTACAGTTGTCTGTGTTAGTGATGGCTGAGTGGTGGTGACAGCCTGCGAAATCTGGGAGAAGTATTGAAACAGAGGTTACACATTGCTTGAGAGACTTCAGTAAGGACTGCACAGAGAATCGAAGGAAAATAATGAGAAACTGTTCCTGCATGTTGGTAAATTGGCCTTCAGATCAAAATAGCACCATACTGAACCAAAATCAAATTGTTTTATCTGACTTAAGTTATGTTGACTTAAATCACAAAGGGAAGTAATCTCAAAACCGGAAGTAACCTTAGTGTCTCTTCAATGTATTAGTCATGCTATGGGAAATAAAGGGAGATGGGGGGCAAAGGAGTAAAATGTAGGGTGTCACTCTGACATTTAATTAAACATGCCGTTTACAGTGCTTACCACATTAATATAAACTTTATAAGGTAGACCAGCACCAACTTCATTGCCTCAGCATACCACAGATGCTTATTAGTGTGGTGAGTGCATCTTTGATTATCATATATACTAATTAGTTATAATCCATACCTTTTTAGATAAAATTACTTGAACTTTACAAAAAAATTACTTTCTAATCAAATAAGTGAAATGCCCTTTAAAACTACAATAAAAGGTTAACATCAAGTATCTATTAATCCAAAAGCATATTTAAACTAAAACACACACTACCCTTGTTTAATTAGTTAGTTAAAATATTTCAGTTTCCAAAGTTAGCATTAAAGATACTTCTTGGTTTAGAATCACACTAACTTTGTGTTTAGACTTAAAAAAGAAACCTATCTATTAAGCATAGACTATCACTCTTTGGAATAATATGGTTTGTGATGAGAAGCCATCACCTCAGTAGAAGGCCAGTACCAGACTAGCTGTGTAATGGGGAGATACTCTCCCTTCCTTCCCTAACCATCAACTCTCTCTCTCACAGTCTTCCTGTTATTAGAACTGAATAGTTATCTCTTAGATGTTCATCATTATTACTCTTCAAGTAATCCAAATCATTTGGAAGGTGAATTTATAAGGAGACCAAAAGAGGCCTTCATTAGATCCATTTCTAAGTACTTGATATGCACAGAGCTAGGGATCTGGCTGAAGTCAAGATTAGTTTGACTAATATTCCTGACTTCGCCACGAGGTATGGAAAGGGTTTGGGACAACCTCCCTGCCTCACACATGACTGATTCCTTCAATGAGAGGCAATCAGGGAAACCTCAGCATCTTCTTATTGCAGCTTCCAAAGAGGCAACTGACAGTGATGGAATGAAATCTTTTGTCACGGCATCTTGTATAAAAATTCCTTTTGACAAATACATTATAGAAATGTTACCCTTACATATGTCAAGGCCTTAGAGACTTCCATTTTGGTAGCCTAGTTGCTTTTTTTTTTTTAAGGACATTAAGAAATACTGAGCTTCTGCATGTGTCAAACACTGGTTTTATCTTCTTTAAGAACTGTATGGACTCATTATTTAGAATCCATCACTGAGTCTCAAACAATACTTATACAGTCCATTGACAAGTTACACCAAAATGAAAGCAGAGAGTAACATGGCTGTCAAAAAAAAAAAAAAAAATCCTTAAAATAGAACCTCAAACCTAACTGCACTCAACACAAAATGATCATTACATAATCAAATTAAGTTTACCTTTAACAAATAAAAAAAAATGTAGTTTTTAAGGAGGATTCCAAGAGCATTTAATTATTTCAGAGTAGTATTTTTTAACCGTGAGCAAATTTTTTTGCATACCATGATGGCTTGAAAAGAATATTGTTAAGGGGGAAATTTTAATTTTATATGTTAGGCACCAGAATGCAGAAATTCTGAAAATGCAAACCTATTGTTTACAATTGTATCTAGTGTTGTGAAACATTTGTGCTACTGAATATCTGGCTGTGGAGTTAATTTCTATAATGTTATAATATCTTCTCATTGATACTTATGAAATTGGAAAGAAGTACCCATGGAGGGGAGGGTAAAGAGAAATGGCAACAGCATATACTATGAAAAGACAATTAGGAATATGGCAAACTTTCTAAGACAGAAAAAATAATCTAATGAAATAATAGCGAGACATAAATCTGTAATTGTTTTACACTATAATCATTACTCTACTATAACTGAAAATACTCCTCCATTTCCTCCGGGATGGAAAAGAACAACAACTGTGCACTGACCTTGTAGCTACAGGATATAATTTGTTATATATGACAAATTAATAGTAACTTTTAAAACCTATCCATATAATCAGAATAAAAACTAAACGGTCGTCTACTAAATTTCCCCATGGCTTTTAGTTTATTGACTGTAAACACTTAATTATGTGTTAGAATCATTAGAAATACAGACAGGAAGGGATTAAGGAGGTCATTTAGTATAACTTACACTTATTATAGAATTTTTTACTCCCAGAAGGAGACAACTCCTTTCTTATTATGGCAGCAAATTTTTCCCATTAGCAAAGTTTTACACCTAATGGAAGCCTGTCTTAGTATGACTTGGTTCATTTAAAGTTTGTTTGGAACCCTGAACCGACACAGAGTAAGCTGAGTATTGTTCCTAACTGACAGTCTTAAAGACCTGAAGACTGATAATTATGACTCTAATAAATCTTATTTCCAAGTTTTAAAATACCGGGGCGCCTGGGTGGCTCAGTCGGTTAAGCATCCGACTTCGGCTCAGGTCATGATCTCATAGTTTGTGGGTTCGAGCCCTGTGTCAGGCTCTGTGCTGACAGCTCAGAGCCTGGAGCCTGCTTCTGATTCTGTACTTCCCTCTCTCACTGACACCCCCTGCTCACGCTGTCGCTCGCTCTCTCTCTCTCTCTCAGAAATAAATAAAACATTTAAAAAAAAATACCAAGTATGGGCTAGAGTTAGGTTTAATCTGATTGGTGCTCCCAAACTTAGGTTTCTTATCTTTGGACCTCATATTTAATCAAAACAATCTAAAATTATATGACTTACTCAGGAGCTGAATCACATTTTAATTAAATTCCAACATATATTCTTTACGTATCATTACAGAACATTCAGAAATGCATAAAATGGAATCTAGATTTGTAGGGATCTTACAGCATAGTAGTGAAGGTGACAAACACACAAACAATTGTGAGACAAGTAATTACACGCACTGAACATACAATAATCAATGTAGTTTCTTTTGAAATGTTATATAAATAAATTTTAAATGTTACATAAATAAATTTCCCTCAGCCGGTATCCTCATATTTAAATCTATTTGATGCTAGAGATTGCATATAACATTTATCTCTGTTCACAGGATAAGCATAATGGTAAAATGGTAAAAGAGAAACAACCTAATGTCAGGAGGTACTGGCTTAAATAAATTATAGCATATGCACATGATAGAGTGACTGTAGATGTGTCAAATATTTTCAATGTCATTGTACAATGTTTATGCTATAGTCCTCAGTGAGCAATGCAAAATATAACTGTCAGTACTTATGTTTTCATAGAGAAAGCACAGATAATTTCTATCGTAGACTATATATTTCTATATTCTTTTCTTTTTTCTGACTTTCTACAATAAAACATTTTCTGCAAAATGTTGCTTTTGCGGGCAGAAAAAAAATTCAGAACTTTTCTGTTCAAATGGTTGTTTCAGGAAAACAGTGTGGAGGTTCCTCAAAAACTTAACAATAGAACTCCCCTATGACCCAGCAGTAGCACTCCTAGGAATTTACCCAAGGGATACAGGAGTGCTGATGCATAGGGGCACATGGACCCCAATGTTCAAAGCAGCACTCTCAACAATAGCCAAAACATGGAAAGAGCCTAAGTGTCCATCAAAGGACAAATGGATCAGGATGATGTGGTTTATCTACACGATGGAATACTACATGGCAATGAGAAAGAATGAAATCTGGTCACGTGTAGCAACATGGATGGACCTTGAGGGTGTTAATGCTGAGCGAAATAAGTCAGGCAGGGAAGGACAGCTACCATATCTTTGCACATATAGGAGGATTAGGAGGAACTTAACGGAGAACCATGGGGGAGAAGAAGGGGGGAAATAGTGGGGGAGATGGAGAGAGGCAAACCATGAGAGACTCTTGAATGCTGAGAACAAACTGAGGGCTGATGGGTGTGGGGGGAGGGGAAGAGGGGTGATGGGCGTGGAGGAGGGCACTTGTTGGGATGAGCACTGGGTGTTATATGGAAACCAACTTGACAAAAAACTATTTGTAAAAAAAAAAATAAGTCTATCATTCTGATGTATCTTTAGAACTATGGAATGATGTCATCCAAATATATTAAAACAACTAAATATTAGGAAAAGTGAAAATCTACTAAGAATGACGTAAGGTCTCCATTAAAATGCTAAAGAGAGCAGGGTCAAAATTAGTATATAACATAGTTTGCATTATATTCTTTTATTTTTATTTTTTTTAATTTCTGAGAGAGAGAGAGAGGCACCATGAGCGGGGGAGGGTCAGAGAGAGAGGGGGATACAGAATCTGAAGCAGGCTCCAGGCTCTGAGCTAGCTATCAGCACAGAGCCCAATGCAGGGCTCGAACCCACAAACCGTGAGATCATGACCTGAGATCATGACCTGGACGCTCACCTGACTAAGCCACCCAGGAGCCCCAAGGTAAGTGTATTCTTAATCCTCTTTACTTATTTCACCCATCCCTCCTACACTTCCATTTTGATTATTAGTATATTGGAAATGACTTTCAAATGTTGCCATGACAATAAAATGTATTTGTTTTTAAACAGTATTGCCTTGATCTGTCAGTCAGCCAGTAAAAATGGCAAAGACTTCGTTTAGACTTCTTACACGGATTAAAAGTCAGGGGTCTTTGAGGCAGGCCCAACAATTCTCAAATGCCAGGTCAACAGTTGGCATATGATAGCATTTAGGGTAGGTTCATTTGTCTCTCAGAACCTTGATTTCTTTTCTTCATATGTAAAATAGAAATGGTAACCTATCTTCACAAGGCCACTGCAAACAGGGCCAGCTTCACGAGTATACAACTTATGGTGTCACCCAGGTTCTCTCACTCAAAGAACTCCATGCTTGGCTTCATGTTCTGCTGC